TATATATATATATATATATATATATTTAATTTTCATTAATACAGAAATAAATACGTTTTTTATTTTAGCTTCGAAGAAAAGCTGGAAGATATTAATGAGAATAATTTTATAGTAGTGTGTATTGTGTACATTACTACTTTTTCTCATTTCTCATGGTACAATTTTTTTCAATGATTTATTAAAAGATGATAAATTGTATCTAGTTGAAGGCATTACCTTTAAAAGTTGAAAAATATACCCTTATTATTACGTATTCAACTGTGGCACTCTAATCTTTATTTTGAAATGTCAATAACTTCTGAAGTAATTTCAAAAATCGTTAATAACTCGTCTTTTTCTTTTTTAATTATTTTATTAGCTAGTTAAATAGTTATGTCGACATTTAAAAAATAATATTGATCCCCCCATATAAGGTATAATAGATGAATTAAAAAAATATTTAAAAGAATTTTCTTAGTANGGTATAATAGATGAATTAAAAAAATATTTAAAAGAATTTTCTTAGTATAATTATTATTTTAAAAGAAATCGAGCGGCTAATATTTAAATAACCACTGTACATAATAATTTTATAATTTCTTCATAAAAAATAACAATACTAAACTATTAAATATTACTTTCATACTAATTGTAATTACTTAATTCTAATTAGCCAATATAGCATACAACTTATACAATTGTCATCAAAAACATATATATTAGTAAACGTAATANCAACTTATACAATTGTCATCAAAAACATATATATTAGTAAATGTAATAATTTTTAATGCTTAAAAATTACTTTTTTGAAAAGATAAGATTTTTTTTGGCCCTTTTTAGTCACATATTAGAGTTTATATCACATAAATTAAACTAAATCCTTCCGACCATTTATAAATTCATCGGATGGATTTTTACTACACATTCATTAAATTAGTTTTTGATAATAATTTAAAATGCATAATAATCTACGCTAATTAATTTACCTGTAAAAACAATGTGATAACATTGTCAAAATCGAAGTGAGCTCAAGTCGGCACATGTTACCGTACTTTAATTGGTTTTTCGTTGATATCATATTGACGTAATAAAAATTGATCACTTGTAGATTTATAAAAAAATGTACCAAATGTTAGGTAAAGACATCATGCATCTATAAAAAAAGAATTATATTGATCCAAACATCTTTCAAAAAGTTATAGCATTATAAAGTTAAAAATATAAAAAAGAATTTTTTTACAAATATCGTGTTTTTTTTATCAACTTTGATGTCTGTTTTCATTATGAAGATAGAATAAAATCCGAAATTTTTTCTTATCATAATAAAGTATATTACATAAGCTTTAATTTAAGATATATATAAAAGTGTCAGTATTTTCGGAACACTTTCAAAATACAAGTTGAAAAAGTTCTACTTTCTATATGCATTTTTATGTTTTGAACCCCCCTATATTAAGGGAAATGGTCTGATTTAAAAAAACAGTATGTAAATGAAAGATGTATATAAATAATACTTCTTATGAAAAAATTGTATTGATCCATACATTTTTCAAAAAGTTATAGCATAATAAAATTAAAAATGTAAAATACAAAATCGAGAATTTTTACACAAAAATAGCATTGGGTAGCCATTTTCATCGTGAAGATAAAATAAAGTCCGAAATTTTTTTTTCCATAAAAAAGTATATAACATTAGCTTTAATTTATGATACATATAAAAGTGTCAGTACTAAAAAGTTGTCATTTTCAAAAAAAAACCCAGCACAGGGGGGTCGCGGTACAATGTACAATTTACAAGTGTAAATTTATCAAAAATAATAAAAGCATGTCTAATTTTCTTCGAGCCGTCGTTAGTGGATTTAAATTTTAGTTTTGAAATTGAATTTATCATAAATCATTGTAGTGATGTCAAAGTCAAAAAAAGTTGGTAGGCAAAACATTTTTTAATTTAATATCGATACCTACTCGTCAATAATTGTATTGATCTTTTTTTTATTAAATGAATCTTTTTATTTTTATCTCAAAAGTTGTTATCAACTTATCGTTTACTTAATTAGATAATTTTCTTAATTTTAAGATAGTTATTCATTTATATTTTCATTTAAAAAATTAAGTTTATACTACTTTTATGTGGAAAGAAAGGGGATAGGACCAATTTGTTTTTTTTTTTTTTTTTAATATTAGAACATAAGATACTATGAATTTCTGAAAAGGAAAAATTGTAATATTTTTATACTTTCTAATGAATAATAATTTAGTTAAAATATTATAACAACCTAAGTGGACTGTATATAAAAGAATTCACAATTCTACAATGTGATAATTAAAGTTTTTATAAAACAGTAAGTAATATTATATAAAACAAAATAATTTTTATTTAAAATAACATTATTACAATAGCAATAAACTATTAATATTTCAACAATGAAATATACATATTAGTATTAACATAGTATTATACACTTTTATATTGTAAATTAACTAAAAAACTACTTAATTTAATAGACCCTAATTCCCCAAAAGGTAATTAATATTTCTCTGACGCTAATTCACGTGTGCCATTCTAAGTTTTACTGATATGAAGCAAATATGCTTAGAAAAAAATACTATCACACAGAAAAATGACTAGAAAAGAAATTCATGTTACAGGGTTCTATGGCATTCACTGAATGGTACAAATTTTACTGCAAAAAAAAACCGACATAATTTTCAAAAAAATATATACCATACAATGAATAGGTCCTTTTCTTGTATAGCATAAAACCTATAACTGTTTTACTTTAGGTTCTATCATATTAAAAAATATATAACTGCAAAAAATTACTACTTATCTCCCCTGCGGTAGAACAAACAGATGACCGGGTCATCCATACGTGCTAACATACTGCCCCGTTGAATGTTCAACTTTCAACTATCTTAAGTTAACATCTCATTTCAACATTTATTTATTTAATAAATCAAATATTTCTAAAGACTAACAATAGAGATCTTTAATACTTTGTAAAAGTAATGCAATATCTAAAATTGTAGTTTTATCGTTATATTCCTAATATACTTGGCTAGATATAATTTGTGATCTGAAAATTAATGGCCAGAGATACAAATAATTAAAAAGATTAAAACATCATAGTAAAACTAATAGTTTCGCAACTTATTCTGTGCTGGTTGATATATGTTACTAACGAAAATAAACAATTTTTGTAGTTTAATGTAGAAAATATTAGTTAGCTTATAAGAAACTTGTTAATAGTTACTACGGATACACTTTTTATTTCCTATATAAGCAAACAAATTTTACAAATACAATTAGTTCTTTGAAAATTTTTAATTTGAAGTGACTATCTTTTTAATAATTAACAATTATTGTTCTCAAAGCTAACATCGAGCAAAACTTTAATTTTTTATTTTTTAAATAATCCATAACGATGAAAACGAAGACTCAGAGATTGTTTGCTCAACTTAAGCGTTTACGTGAAAATCCTACTTATCCGTTTATAACGCCATTTTTCGTCAATTTACACAACTGTATTAATAACAAGTCTGTTATTGTGTCCACTAGAAAGAGTTTACCAAAGGCCAATCCAAAATGTTCGTCAACCAAATCTATATCCGAAAAACCGCAATTGAAGAATCCACACGGCGTTCTTGTTAAATCGACTTCGACACATATTAACAAATCATCTCCAGAGAAAAAAGTCGTCGTCGATGGTAATGAAACGGACGCAGTCGGACCCCAGCCAAGATCAAGTTCGACAAAGCTTAGATCTAAGTCGGGAATTCCGACGGAACCTTCTAATAATTCATGCTCGTCGAAAAGACCAAACGCTTTCGACGACAATGGGTCTTCTAAGAGACCTAAATACTTGAGCTCTGTCGAGTTACGCCCTAGTGCGAACGGGTCTGAAAAAAGAATGATCCTAAAGTCAAAGACCATTTCTTCAGCGTCAGATTCGGTAAATGAATCTCAGATCTCGCAGGATTACAAAAGCGACTACGATTATAATGGTATAATTTTGATTTATTTGCTACGAAACACATTTGCAATA